ATAAGATCCAAAAGTTTCCCATTGTATGCCAATTGCCTAGCCCAAGAAATCAAATTAGCCCTTTCAAATTCTGACATTGGGGAAGCTGTAACTTGTAAAGGCCTTCGTCCTGAAATCAGAACCAAAAGAAGAACACCAAAGCTATAAACATCGCATTTTTCTGATAACAAGCCGCCGCCACCATATTCAGGGGCGATATAACAAACTGTTCCTCTCATGCTTGGAGTACTACTAATACCACCACTCTTGGGTATGTCTCCACTAGCCCAATCTTGACTATTTCTTCTTCCACTTCTTAATTCGCCACTAAACCCATCAAGCCACCAATCAATGCTACCTCTACTGGACTTATTCTTTCTCTTTTTTCTCTGTTGCATCACTTCCTCGTCTTTTTGCCACCACATTTCACCACCATGACTGGAATTGAATCCTCTTTTCTTCTTCTTTTTTGTCAGCTCTTCACAGAACTCTTCTTTCCACCATTCTCTTGGCTTTCGGTTCTTTTCTTTCTTTCGAACTCTCTCCTTCTTTAACTCAAGTTTGGAGCCCGAACCATTATTTTCAGTGGAACTCGGAGAAGCTATCCATTCATTTTTGGGTCTATCTTTTTTTATTTCACTCCCGATCCATTCCATAACATAATCTTTCACTCTCCCCGACTCTGACCCTCCTCCATTGTCCTGTTTCCACCACCAATCTCTCCTTGAACTACACTTTTTACCATTTCCAATCAAATCCTTTCCACTCTCAATACTAACATGATCAAAACCCGCTTCTGATACACTCCCTTTATCAGCCCCAACTTCAGGGGACAACACAACAGTCTCAGGGGAAACTTCAGGATCAAACACCCTAACAACGCAACTGTCCGGCGACAGATCAATACCACCGCCACCGCAAACACCACCACTCTCTTCATAAGCAGTCACCACGCTCTCAGTCTCCTCCAAGATCGACCCATTATCCTCCACAACATCCATCTTCTTCCCACCTTCACCTTCCACAAGATCCTCAGTTTTCAACCTCGCAAGACCAAAATCTCCAATCTTTGCATTAAAATCACCATCTAACAAAATATTACTGGGCTTAATATCGCCATGAATCACAGGCGGGTCACAAGAATGATGTAGGTACTCGAGCCCCCTGGCAATATCAAAAGCAATTTCAAATCTTTTCTTCCACTCCATAAGTTCTTCACATTTGCGATCCAATAACGCGTCCTGTAAGCTCCGGTTCTCCATCAGCTCGTAAACTAAAACAAGCCTACGCCCACGCCGATCCGAAGCGAAACCAAGAAGAGAAACAATGTGAGGTGAGTTCAGAGAGGAGGCCAGAGACAGTTCGTTGTGGAACTCTCGCTCGCCTTGGAGTGAACCTGAAGAGTCAAGTATTTTGACCGCAAGTGGTTGTGAAGACGACGGTACTATGGCTTTGTAAACTGAGCCGAAGCCACCGTGGCCAAGCCGGTTAGATGGAGAGAACGACGCCGTTGCGTGGCGGATGAGACTGTAAGAGAACCGCCGACAGTGGTGGTGGTTCGGAGATTTGAGGTCTGATGGAGCCGTACGGTTGCGCGAAAGTTTACGGTAACAGAGAATGGTTGCAATGAGCAAGATGAGAAAGACTAGGACAAGGGTTCCGGCGAGGATTGCGGGAAGGGCATGAAAATGAGGGTTGTGGTGATGGTGGATGAGGGGTGGCGCCACCGGCAATGGTGGTGGGGGTAGTAATGAGAGCAAGGAACGTGATGGCATGGCTGTAAATAGCATGGAAAATGGAGGCGAGGTTAGTGTAACAATATTAGTAAGTCATGAGTGACTGACTTAGTTGAAGAAGAATGGAGAGCTCTCTCTCTCTCTCACTCTCTTTTGAAAGTGTTCTATGTTCTCTGAATCCCTGATAAGTGTTTCCTTGGTTCTGAACACAAAAGTAGGCCCAATCTTTTTATTTTTCTATTGGTTAGGATAAGACAAGTGTTGAGTGACGTGGAACTTTCGGATATGAATGCTGAGGAGGCAATTAGTTTGACTTTTTCTTCATACGTGGTGATATCTCATTGGCTGGTTACTGTTTTGCTGCAAAGTATTACAAGATATCAGCCAACTTTAACAACACCTCAGACTTGTTGATATCAGAATCATCAATCGCAAGGCAAACATCAATGTCACTCTTAGAAACTCCAAATGAATTAGCACAGGATCCATAAAGATACAACCGAGCTTCAGGCCATTCTTTGCAAACTAATTTCTCAATAACGTTAACAGCTGCTTCTGCTTTGCCTTTCTTCCTCTGGTGGTATAAAGATTCGTAAATTGCAGAAAAGGAGCATTCAATCTAATATATCACGCGACATTGAAGCTGCCATTTTAAGCTTCTATCCTTTGATAAGTAACCTTTTTCCTATTATCTGATTGAGTTCGATGACAAAACAAGACAAGCAAATCCCATATTTAAACAATTTATCCAATCCATGCAAAAGTGAACATTTTTCCATAAATAATCACTCAAAAGGTAGTTGTCTGGCAAGAAGCATTGAACCAAAACTATAGTAGAAAATAATACATGTCTACCTTATCCGACGGTGTTGTTTCTTGTCGTTACGGTCATTTTTGTAATCAGACTCATCGTCAGGCAATAAAAAATCCACAAGTTCTTCACCAAATCATCCAAATCTTCACCTCCTCGACCATACCCAGGACCAGTCTCCCTCACTTCTCCTGCATCCTATGCCTTTCTCCATCCTCTCTATGCAAATCCAACATAGACTCTTCAATATCAGATGCCGAACCGAATGAAGGTTACTTCCTGAGGGTGGACCGGAGATCAAGTGTCTAGTGAGCCCAGTCCATTGCTACGTTCAGATGGCAATCTCTCACTCTCCCATTCCCATCTTCAACACTGTAGTTTACCTTGTCCTTATCCGCATTAAAGTCAGGACCCCTCCTACTGTTTCCTCCTCCTCCTTCTCTTGCCTTGTTCAAAAACCCTGGAGGCGGCGCTGACCTAATGCTGTTTGCCAACTGAATTCTCCGAAGGTTGAATAAAACTTGGATTTGGAACAGGACTTTTTCGCCCTCGAATTGACGGTTCCTATCTAATCCGTTTGGGAATTATATTTCAAGTTATCTGAAGAATTAAATTGGGAGGTAAACCTCGGTCGGATTTGGGCTTGTAGAGAACCAAATAGGATATTTTGGGGTGGCTCTTGAAGTTTTGCTGCTGAGAACAAGGTTTTGAATTGCAAAATTGGCGTTCGAAATCCCTAATCTGCCAAAGTCTTCATTCAAAATTCTCTGATTTCCCGGAGGGGATTGCCAAGGGTTTTGAGGAAACCCTAGGAAATTGTGGGGGAAAGGAGGGAGAGAGTGTGGGACCATGGTGGAGGAAGATCGAATCCGTTGGATGGCCACTGTACAGGAAAATTTATAGAAGGACCCACAGCCGCAACGGCCGGATCGTAGGCAACTGCAAATAAGGTTGCTGTGGAGGAGTAATTGGAATGGGTGAAGAGGGTAATTGATGAACATTAGATTGTGTTTGTGGTTGCTGTTGGGATTTTTGAAGTAACGAGAGAGAAAACTCGCCGCCGTTACTTGAAGGTATAGGTGGCTGCGCGTCACCGCACCGCCGGTCATGGTAGTTGCGACCATTGAGTGAGGTTTTGAAGTTGACTAAGAGCCCGTATCAGTAGCTAGTGTTTCATGTTTTATTTTTATTTTGTTTTTCCTTTTTATCGAATTTAGAAAAGTCGTTTCCTTTTAGTATTCGTATTACTGTTTATTCCTTTCTTAGGAAGTTATTTGGTATATTACTTGTATAAAATCTCAACCGTTAAAAATCAGAAGCCTGTTTTATTGGGATTGCCTTTACAATGTGACTATTGTTTTTTTGTTAGTTTGTCTGGTCTTTGCTTCTTTTCTTACCATGGAAGCAACTCAGTGCAACTTTAATTGGGTTTGACCCGTACAGAACTGTTCCTATCCGTCTCATAATGGACTCCTTGGTAATTCTTTTGGCTAGTTTTTAATTGTAACCAGACGCTGCTATCAAGCCCATGTCTAGTTCATTCAACCTAAATATTTAACCCTATCATATGAAAATATAAGAGGTGTTGATGGAGGAGCAGTATAATTAGGGAAAGAAAATATTAAGCAACTTTGCATTACATAACCACTTGGCTTGTGGTCAGATGGTAAGATCTTAGATGTTTAGAGACGTTTGTGATTTATCTAGTCTATTGGCTTGTAGGGTCATCAATGACAATTTTTAGTTTATGAGAATTAGTTGAAATACACCTATTTGAGTTTATTATTTTTTCCTTAATATATTATCAATTCAATAGATACATCCATGATGCTTTAGTAATTTCATTCATCAGTTTATTTCTTTTGATAATCTTTTCGGTAATATATTTACTATACTTTGAAAACGGAACAAAAAGTTTAATTAATAGCTATACATTGAAATGAATGAAGCCTTAAATACACCATATCGTCAACAAAAAGCCCTGAATTCTGCTCAAACAACATGATTATATGGTTACCGCAATATCACAGATCCAAGTTCTAAGGACTGTCAGTTAAGCCAACCTGCTTTTATTTTCTTTTATTTTTTTTCAATCAAGTCATTACCCCATTTCGTCAACAACTATTCATGCAACCGACGCATAACCAATACATAAACTTCAACAATGTATTGGACATGTTCACACTCATAGCTCCACCTCTATGTTAATTCAATCAACACTATCATCAGTATGTCCAAATCTAATTTCGATCCTTATGCCCACTCGGGATTGTCTTCAATCCAGATGGCTCCATAACTCGCCGCCTCGCTTACCCAAAGTTGAACCAAACCCTGATCCTGTTCCAGACAACCCCACTGTTTCCAAAGATATTATTACAATCCTAAAACTAATACGTGCATTCGCATTTTCAGGCCAGTCAAGATACCTTCCAATGACAACACTATCGCTCGCCTTCCCATTATAGTTTACTTCCATGGAGGTGGATTATCCTCTACTCTGCCTGTGATGTTGTTGTAACCAAAACTGTTCCCTAATGGCAAGTGAAATCCCTGCCATTGTTGTCTTGTTGATTACCGTCTTGCTCCTGATCATAGGCTCCCGCTTGTTATGAGGACGCCGTTGACGCCATCTATGGGTTAAGCAACAAGCCGTTGATCCAGGGCGAGAAATGGATTAAAAATTTTGGAGATCTTTCACGGTGTTATCTTGGTGGTCGTGGTAATGGCGCTAACATTGTGTTTCATGCAGCTTTACGAGCAATGGATTATAATTTAGGGCCTATGGAAATTCGTGGACTGCTTTTTAATCAGCCTTTGTTGGTGGCGTCCAAAGAACTAAAAGTGAGATTAAAGGCGCGGATCCGTCTTGCCATTGCAGGTACTAGATGTGTTGTGGGACCTATCACTGCCAAAAGGGGCGATCGTGACCATCGATTTTCTAATCCAATTTTAGATGGCCCACACAAAATCAAGATCAGTCATTACCGCGATCTTGGTGATTGGGTTTTGTGGGGACCCAACCATCGATCGTCAGCAACAATTTGTGCAATTGCTGGAACTAAATGGAGTCCACGTGGAGACACAATTTAATGAAGTTGGGTTTCATGCAGTGGAGTCGTAGACAAGGACGAGCTCTTGCGGTGTTAAGATGACCAAAGACTTTATCTTTTAATCTTCTTTACTAATTTTATTAATTTACCAAACACTTGCCTAATGTTAAATTTTTTTTCATGGTTGTTGTATGATATAATTGGTTTATTTCAGTTAGGCTAGACTTTTTGTATCTTTAATTTCTTAGGTAACATCTGATCGCCGAATATAAATGAAGGGTACTATAATTATCCTTAATTTGATAATGTTGTTGGACAACTCTCACAAGTTTCTGACTGCATTGTTCATAAATAAAGTGAGGTATTATTAATGCGGGTAGCTCGGTCGTGCTCAGCTAGCTGTTTGCAATTAGTAATTTATATTTGATCAAACAAATGACCCACGGACAACTATCCGATCCCGGGGAGAATACTGACAATAATAATACTATATTACAAAAAAATCTTACAAAAATTTTATACAAAATGAGATGATAAAAAATGAGTGAAGAGTGAAACAAAAAATCAAACTTATTAAATCATTCTACCATTCATTTTTTTCATCTCACTTTGTATGAAGATCTTTGTAAAATTTTTTGTAAGTATAGTAACTCTATTGACAATGTAATAAAACATGTATGTCTATGAACTCGAGCTGATACATGCTGCCGAACCGACACATTATTTTTTCCTTCTAGAAAAGTAAGGTACAAATTTCACATACACTTTGTTATATGATATAATTCAACTTGTATGAAATCTTGACACGTGTTTTATAGCCCAGATCTAACCCCTTTGAGGGTAGGTCATAGGCCTATGCCTACCTTCAGATTTAAAAAAATTTAATATGTATAAACCTACAAAAAAAATGTTATTAATATATATATATATAAGCCTACGTATTAAAATTTAAAACTCTCTCAATCTTTTTCTCTATAGCTTTACTTGTTTTTTTTTTTATGATTTATCTCCAAAAATTTTTACTTTTCATTCTCTCTCAGCTATTCACGCTTAGAATTTTTTAAGACTGAAATTATTAAAGCTTTCACTATTTAAGGTATCACAATTAGCTCGTTTTCTGTTTATCAATTTTAGGTATGTGTATTGTCATTTCAATTTAATTTATTTAAAGTTGAATCATGCTTGTTTTTTTGAGGTTTTTTATTCTAATTTGGAGGAAAAAGATATGGGTTTATCAATTTATTTTGTGTTTTGTATCTAAGAAAAACCTACTTTCTCAAATTAAAACTTTAACTACATTCAAATGACTGTTATTCTTCACCTCTCACCCACTACTTTCTACATTTCAAAACGTCACTGTTCAACTGCTTAAAATATTAAAGAAATTTGAGTTACTATCATGTTTATACCAAGAAAATTCTATTTTTTTTTATTAATTCATATTAAAAGTCAACAAACATTGACTGATTTAAATTTTGTGACTTTAACTTAGGCTAGTCTAATCAAAGTCATGAACATTTATATTATAATCTTTAGAAGCCAAAAAAAAAAAAAAAAAAGGTTTTACTCAAGGTACTCGATATATTTACTAAAATTTGCCTTTTCATAGAATTATTAAAGTAAGAAAGTATTGTGTGCATTATTTTTTATAAGTTCTTCATATTGTATTATTTTATTTGCTTAAGATTAATAATTTTTTAAAGTTTTCACTAATGTTTAACAAATAATAACGGTGCCAACCTCCTAAACAAAATTCTGGATCCGCCGCTACTATAACCATTGAAGTGTTTGGGGCACATGTTATATCAAAAAATGGTGGCTTCTTCTGCAAGGTTGTCTTCTGCAAGGTTGTCAGGGTTTGTTTCAACAGTAAGGCTCATAGCTGAATCATTACCTAAGTTGATGACACATTATAAGAGGAATACTTCACTGTGAAGTCTCCAATCAAGACGGTTTGTCATAATGTATTATGCTATAAGAAGGGTTGCTTCTTGAACAAGACCACCCATACAACACATAAATAAGGTTTTCCACCCGAATCCGGGATCCAAAAATCCATTTCTTAATAACTATGAAGCAATTGTATCTCTTAAAGAGCAATTTTTTTTTTTTTTTTTTTTTTTTTTGTAAACCTATTATAAGATAAGGTTTACGTAGAATTACATCTTGAACCGCTTTAAAAACCATTTCTCTTCTTTATTTTATTTCTCATATTATTATTACTACTACCCCGGATTCAGCATCATATTCATGGTTTCATACAATCCCTTTGTCGAACTCCCTAAGAAGGATCATGTAGTTCTCGCTGGTGTGAAATATCACAAGAACACATTTTATTAGGCATTATAACATTATTTTTATTCATTTTGAAATGCAGCTAAACATAGGATATAGATTACAGAATGAGAAATTAAATAATAAAACAAGACAAGATACGTCTGTTTCTCTTACAAGTACTAAACTTCACAAAGTTGATTTGTTAGCAGCAGGAAGAGCATTATCCTGAGCTGCAACAACAAGTGGTAATAAATTCCTTGAGAAATTTGTGCAAAGCCTGGGCCTTCAAAGGATCAAACAGTTCACAGCCATGAAATCAGTCAAATGTTGTGACCACGAGCACATCCACGTGTCTGTAACATTTTCACAAATTCCCTCTGTCTGTCAATTAGTGGATCCCCTTCATGTCCACTCACCAAAGTCATTGGTAACCGTGATTTTGTGATTGGATACGGCGATCATTGGATTACAATACTCATGATCACGATCCGCGTCCTTGGGCAATGATAGGTCACATAAGATCATTAGCAGTCCACGGCAAAATCCGATCGTTGATCAGTCTTCTCTGGGATTCAGTCCTCTGGACTCCATCAAAGAATGGCTGAATGAGCATAAGCCCTTTGATTTGAAGGGGTGAAAGATCAATATCGATGGCACGTAAAACATGCATGGTAAGCAATGTTGGCGCCAGCACTAGAAACCGAGATAAAGCACTGTGTAAAGTCAACGTGGTCTCTCAACATGGATCACAGCCGTTGATATCAAGCGCCTTTTTGCGGACCCACATGATGGATTCAATAGCATCGTCGTAGGCTGCTGGAAGGCGGTGTTCAGGGGCGAGCGATAATCAACTGACAGGATAAAAGCAGGGAAATAAGTTGCCTTGCGATTGCAGGAGTTATGAAAAATTAGAGAGGCAGCACTGTAGAGAATGAAGCCCCCTCCATGGAAGTCTATTATGAGGGGAGCTTAGTTGTGAGGGGAATATTTTCAGGCTTGTATAAGCGAAGAAAAGTTTATTGGCGGGTTTAGAGGAAGTCTTTGGAGAGGGCGAGGTGGGGGGAGTTTGAATCAGTGGTTTCTGGATTTGGAGGTGCAGTGGGAATTTTGAGGAGTCTGGTGAGTGAACCATCTGGGGGGGGACGATTTTAAGGAGTTTATGGGATCTATGGAAGTTGTTGCAGTTGCAGGAGAAGATTGATCTGCCATTGAAGAGTCAGGTGAGAGAGATAGACAGTGTTTTATGCACACAACACAAGGTGTGTGCATATTTATTTTATATATGAGAAAGGTGAATGCTGTAAGGGTTTTGCGGTAGCAATGCTGACAATAGTGATCAACTAAGTCATTTAATAAAAACTTGGTTGGTGTAGAGTTAAATGTATTCGGCGGTTGTGATGAGCTGCTCTTTCAGTTGGTGTAAAGTTAATTATTTGGTTGATCATAATGTTAACCAAAAGTGTTATTAGGAGAAATAACTTGAAACTCATTCATAAAACAAACACGAGTCATGACCATGATTTTAACATGAACAATTTGGACCTGGTCCAGTGAATTGTTTGCCTATAAAGTTGGAGGTCATGAATGAGGCCCACCTTGGGTAGGTTGGTTAGCAGCCCAATTAGGTGATAGCGGCTAAACGAAAACATTAAATAACGAAACAAAGGTGCATGTACCAAAGTGCCCGTGGCTTGCATAATTTTAAGATAATACTGAACTTACATTTAATCTTACAAACTTTTTCTTACAATTCTGACATAATAATGTAATTAGTTAACTTTTAATAGTTTCAATTTGCTTAACAATAGACCCTATCTGTCCAATTGTGAGCTGACCAATTAAACACGAGAAAAAATTGGTAGGATTTAATCATGAGCAAATTTTATTGAAATTTCACTGTAAGGCAGCTTTTGTAAATTTACTGAGCATAGTACTACCGCCGTGCCATCGACAAGTCATCTGTAATTAGGCTCATTAGATTAGTACCAGATAGAATAAAACAATCCATGCATCCAATTATTTTTAAAAGAAAATGTTATCAAACCCATATAAACTAATCCAACTTTTGAATTTCAAAATCATAAATCATATGAATTGAACTTAAAAACTCAGTAAATCCGATGCTCAAGTGATTCAGATACTCTACAAGTTATATTTCCACTTGTCCAGCCACTATTGAGCAGACTCTTATTCTTCGTCTCTTCAAATGCATCGTAGTTTTAGATTTAGTTGTAAAGATCAGAGAATCGCATAAAAAGTAAAATATGGCTAAGTTTTAATTCATGCAATTTACGATGAAGCACAATAATTGTATAAGATAAAGAGAGAAAAGCATCCACAATTAAAATGTTTTTACAGGCGCTTGACAAATAGAAAGTAATAGGGATGGTATGGTGGTAGGGCTCGTTGGCAAGTTGCAGTAATTAGTGCTGTCATCTCACTGAGAAGAAAATTGATTAAAACTATAAGATGTTTATTTCATGGCCTATCAATAAGAGCCCTGACAATTATAACAGCAATTCATGACATTGTCGAGCACAAGTTCACTATTGTTCCCAACAGAAGTGTTATGTTCACAAAGAGCCTGCAAATATACAGTATTAATGTGCTGCATAGTCCTCTCAAAAGATAAAGATGGGGTCAAAACTGGGTTCCTTCAACTGAATTTCATGCTACTTCAGCTAAAAAATCACCACTTTTGCAAGCTAGCAGACAACAAAAATGGAAAATCTTCTGGCCCAAGAGGTCCAGAAGACATCAAAAGAAAGCATTGATTTATGCCCCAGAACAATTCGCAAATACATATATCAACATTCAACAAGCCTTAAAAAAAATGGCATCAACATTGGAAAGCAAAAGCTATCTCCATATATCTTTACATTTACCGTTAAACATGGGATTCCTAAAATTCAACAATTTGTGGGAGCAAAAGTCAAGTGGGGTTGTACATAAAAAAATCATTGTTCTTGAGAAAAAGAGATACTGAACAGAAATCGTAGGCCCGAGAGAGAGAGAGACAAGAAAACACTTAATATTGAATTGAAACTATCACTTAACAGCGTCATTTCTGCACCACTTCTTTGATTCATATTATGTACATACGAACCACTTGGAAATTAATATTAACCCCCGAAATAAAATAAATAATTGAAATTAGCATACAATTGCGAATTAAAATTGCTCAAAAGAGGTGCATCAATCAAAAGTTTTTTACAGTTTACACTGCTGAACGCATAAATATAAAAGCCTGAACCACTAAATACATAAATGCTATATAAACAGCAGGATGAAAACGAGGAACACAAGGATGAGTGAACAGAGCCTATAAGCTTATCAAAATCTTTAACCATAAATACATCTAACAATCACAACCAAGCCTTAGATAAGTCGACCAGGAACATAGGGTTCAAAGAGTGCCACCCAAGGATTTGGATCATACTGCATTATATCAGCAGCACGTTCAAACTCCTCCCTTAGGACTTTTATGCTGAACTTGTCCACCACTCGACCAAGGTCATGAGATGTCTCAAAGGGATCCTCTATGCATATTAAATGACGATCATTCCCAATCCTCCTCGTCCAGTCTTTTTCTTGTTTGCTGTACAGTAAACACAATAGCTACCAATCAGCTAATTGCACGGAAGAAATCAACCAGTGTAAATGAGAAAAAGAAAATTGTGTGACACAACAGGTAATATAGACGTTACTTTGGCTATCCACTTTAAAATCATTTCCGCCTTGAAAATTTTGAAACAAAAAGAACAGCACAACTACCAGAATTATATACTAAACAAAATGCTAATACTGTTGTACATGCATGCCTTCTTTAGTGAAAGTAATGACATGAAATATGTGCATAGCATGTTTGGTAAGTGAGGTACCAATCATGAAAATGATGAATGACATTTCAACTTACCTTTTTATGCTTCCTGTGCGTACGGATATCACAGAACTTGCATAATCATGACGATATGCCCAATAACTGAAAAACGACCACACAAGCTGAGCAATAGTTTCTCTGTTACGGGATCCAAAGTCGCGTAGTTTTTCAACTTGATCAAAGTAAGCACATTCGATATCATCCACAATCACAGAGTATGTTTTCTCCATTCCCTAATGAGAAAATTCACCAAGCACAAAATTATAAAATACACAAAGAATGTTCAAAACTAATACTAGCATCAATTGCAAAAAGTATGACAAGAATGTATCATGTCAGCTGTCCTCCACACAATTTACCAATATTGAAGCAAAAATCAAATCAATACAAAATCCAAAGAGAGACTACACAATTAGCAACATGATTAATAGATACATAATAGTGCTATGATTTACAACTGAATTAAAAAAAGAAAAACCAATCCTCATGCACTGAAAAGCTTTGTTTTCACAAGTCATTTCCTGACAGAAATTTCATTCACTTGACAGAGACTACATTTCATTAACATAAGTATTCCATCTGGACAGGATACATAGTCCACTGAGTCAACTAAAAAATGTGATTCAACAATTTAGTTGAATCATGCTGTTTTTGTATATTCCTTTTCATTCAAAATCAATACCAGTGTTCAAAATACTCTGAACTTTTATCAGTACCATCAACTAATGCGCCAAATACCTGAATCAGGCACAACCCACCCCAACTAGGAGGAGAGTGAGGTGTCAGTGCGGAATTCTAACACGACATCCAAATAACCAATAACTTTATCACGGAAAGTAAATTCCCAAAACATATAAGAATAGAGCTCCAAAACCAAAATGAAAATAACTGACAAAGCTGTCTTTCATACCACAATTAAAGAAGGAAAAAAACACACCTGTAAACACGGAAGAATAGCAGGTCTACGCTGCTGTAAGAAATGAATGCACATCAAAACATACCTGAAAAGCAGATACAAAACAAATGTTATGAAAAAAATGCATGCTCACTGAAAACACCAACATATAACATAAATACTATTACACAACTGTGATTACAATATAGCAGAAAAAGTTGTAATCAGAAAAAGCAGTCTAATGACAAACATGACTAGCATCTAATTAAATATATATTTATTTGCTAAAATTGGTAATATTCTTAATAGATAACTTACGCATAGCTTGACAGGGTTCCTTGATAAGTTTCATTAACTCCTCTTTTTTTTGCCCAATGCTTAACAATGAATGCCAATTGCCGCAGTCGCACATCTATTTGGGCATAATCCTGAAGAAGCTTAGTATTTACAACAGCCAAGAGATTGTTTATGCATATGTCACAAGAAATTCCAGTGACTGGATCCATGAGCTTTACTATGGGAACCCTTGCACGTGTAAGTGCCTGTAAAGAAACTTATGTAAAAGAAATTTGCATTAGAATTTAAAACCAGCAGTATAATGCATCCATAAAAGGTAAACAAACCAACCAACCATGATAGAAATATGTTATAAAAGATACAGCATGCTTCAAGAATGGCAGAACAAAAGTAATTCAATTTACCTGCACATTCTGGAGATTATCTGATTCCAAGATATCAGCCAACTTTAACAACACCTCAGACTTGTTGATATCAGAATCATCAATCGCAAGGCAAACATCAATGTCACTCTTAGAAACTCCAAATGAATTAGCACAGGATCCATAAAGATACAACCGAGCTTCAGGCCATTCTTTGCAAACTAATTTCTCCAATAACGTTAACAGCTGCTTCTGCTTTGCCTTCTCTTCCTCTGGTGGTATTAAAGATTCGTAAATTGCAAGAAAAGGAGCATTCAATCTACCTATATCACTGCGACATTGAAGCTGCCATTTTAAGCTTCTCATCCTTTGACTAAGTAACCTTTTTCCTCTATTATCTGATCTGAGTTCCTGATGACAAAACAAGACAAGCAAATCCCATATTTAAACAATTTATCCAATCCATGCAAAAGTGAACATTTTTCCATAAATAATCACTCAAAAAGGTAGTTGTCTGGCAAGAAGCATTGAACCAAAACTATAGTAGAAAATAATACAATGTCTACCTTATCCCGACGGTGTTGTTTCTTGTCGTTACGGTCATTTTTGTAATCAGACTCATCGTCAGGCAATAAAAAATCCACAAGTTCTTCACCAAAATCATCCAAATCTTCACCTCCTCGACCATACCCAGGACCAGTCTCCCTCCTCACCTTCTCCTGCATCCTATGCCTTTCTCCATCCTCTCTATGCAAATCCAACATAGACTCTTCAATATCAGATGCCGAAACCGAATGAAGGTTACTTCCTGAGGGTGGACCAGGATGATCAAGCTGTCTAGTGAGCCCCAGTCCATTGCTACGTTCAGATGGCAATCTCCTCACTCTCCCATTCCCATCTTCAACACTGTAGTTTACCTTGTCCTTATCCGCATTAAAGTCAGGACCCCTCCTACTGTTTCCTCCTCCTCCTTCTCTTGCCTTGTTCAAAAACCCTGGAGGCGGCGCTGACCTATAATGCTGTTTGCCAACTGAATTCTCCGAAGGTTGAATAAAACTTGGATTTGGAACAGGACTTTTTCGCACCTCGAATTGACGGTTCCTATCTAATCCGTTTGGGAAATTATATTTCAAGTTATCTGAAGAATTCAAATTGGGAGGTAAACCCTCGGATCGGATTTGGGCTTGTAGAGAACCAAATAGGATATTTTGGTGTTGCTCTTGAAGGTTTTGCTGCTGATGAACAAGGTTTTGAATTGCAAAATTGGCGTTCGAAATCCCTAATCTGCCAAAGTCTTCATTCAAAATTCTCTGATTTCCCGGAGGGGATTGCCAAGGGTTTTGAGGAAACCCTAGGAAATTGTGGGGAAAAGGAGGGGAGAGAGTGTGGGACCATGGTGGAGGAAGATCGAATCCGTTGGATGGCCACTGTACAGGAAAATTTATAGAAGGACCCACAGCCGCAACGGCCGGATCGTTAGGCAACTGCAAATACGGTTGCTGTGGAGGAGTAATTGGAATGGGTGAAGAGGGTAATTGATGAACATTAGATTGTGTTTGTGGTTGCTGTTGCTGTTGCTGTTGGGATTTTTGAAGTAACGAGAGAAGAAACTCGCCGCCGTTACTTGAAGGTATAGGTGGCTGCGCGTCACCGCCACCGCCGGTCATGGTAGTTGCGACCACTTGAGTGAGGTTTTAGAAGTTTGACTAAGAGCCCGTATCAGTAGCTAGTGTTTCATGTTTTATTTTTATTTTTATTTTTTTTTTCCTTTTTATCGAATTTAGAAAAGCCGTTTCCTTTTAGTATTCGTATTACTGTTTATTCCTTTCTTAGGAAGTTATTTGGAATATTTACTTGTATCAAAATCTCAACCGTTAAAAATCACAAGCCTGTTTTATTTGGGATTGCCTTTTACAATGTGACTATTTGTTTTGTTAGTTTGTCTGGTCCTTGCTTCTTGCTTACCATGGAAGCAACTCAGTGCAACTTTAATTGGGTTTGACCCGATAACAGAACTGTTCCTATCCGTCTCATAATGGACTTGTTGGTAATTCTCTTTTGGGCTAGTTTTTAATTGTAACCCAGACGCTGCTATCAAGCCCATGTCTAGTTCATTCAACCTAAATATTTTAACCCTATCATATTGAAAAAAATATAAGAGGTGTTGATGGAGGAGCAGTATAATTAGGGAAAGAAATATTAAGCAACTTTGCATTACATAACCATTTGGTTTGTAGTCGGATGGCAAGATCTTAGATTATTAAGACGTTTGTGACTTACCTGGTTTATTGGGCTTGTAGGGTCATCAATGGATCATAAGTATTTAGATTAGTTGAGATATACACAAACTGGTCCGGACCTCCGATCACCAAAAAAAAAAAATTGTGCATTACACTATTTGAGTTCATTATTTTTTCCTTAATAATATATTATCAATTCAATAGATACATCCATGATGCTTTTAGTAATTTCATTCATCAGTTTATTTTCTTTTGATAATCTTTTCGGTAATATATTTACTAGTACTTTGAAAACGGAACAAAAAGTTTAATTAATAAGCTATACATTGAAATGAATGAAGCCTTAAAATACACCATATCTTGTCAACAAAAAGCCCTGAAATTCTGCTCAAACAACATGATTATATGGTTACCGCAATATCACAAATCCAAGTTCTAAGGACTTTCAGTTAAGCCAACCTGCTTTTTATTTTATTTTCTTATATTTTTTTCAATTAAGTCATGACCCCATTTCGTCAACAACTATTTCATGCAACCTACGCATAACCAATACATAAACGTCAACAATGTATCGGACATGTTCACACTCATAGCTCCACCTCTATGTTAATTCAATCAACACTATCATCAGTATGTCCAAATCTAATTTCGATCCTTATGCCCACCTCGGCATTGTCTTCAATCCAGATGGCTCCATAACTCGCCGCCTCAGCTTACCCAAAGTTGAACCAAACCCTGATCCTGTTCCAGACAACCCCACTGTTTCCAAAGATATTATTATCAATCCTAAAACTAATACGTGCATTCGCATTTTCAGGCCAGTCAAGATACCTTCCAATGACAACACTGTCGCTCGCCTTCCCATTATAATTTACTTCCATGGAGGTGGATTTATCCTCTACTCTGCCTGTGATGTTGTGTGTAACCAAAACTGTTCCCTAATGGCAAGTGAAATCCCTGCCATTGTTGTCTCTGTTGATTACCGTCTTGCTCCTGATCATAGGCTCCCTGCTTGTTATGAGGACGCCGTTGACGCCATTCTATGGGTTAAGCAACAAGCCGTTGATCCAGAAGGCGAGAAATGGATTAAAAATTTTGGAGATCTTTCACGGTGTTATCTTGGTGGTCGTGGTAATGGCGCTAACATTGTGTTTCATGCAGCTTTACGAGCAATGGATTATAATTTAGGGCCTATGGAAATTCGTGGACTGCTTTTTAATCAGCCTTTGTTTGGTGGCGTCCAAAGAACAAAAAGTGAGATTAAATTGGCTGCGGATCCCGTCTTGCCATTGCAGGTACTAGATGTGTTGTGGGACCTATCACTGCCAAAAGGGGCTGATCGTGACCATCGATTTTCTAATCCAATTTTAGATGGCCCACACAAAATCAAGATCAGTTCATTACCGCGATCTTTGGTGATTGGGTTTTGTGGGGACCCAACCATCGATCGTCAGCAACAATTTGTGCAATTGCTGGAACTAAACGGAGTCCACGTGGAAGCACAATTTAATGAAGTTGGGTTTCATGCAGTGGATGTCGTAGACAAGCGACGAGCTCTTGCGGTGCTTAAGATGACCAAAGACTTTATCTTTTAATCTTCTTTACTAATTTTATTAAATTTACCAAACACTTGCCTAATGTTTAAATTTATTTTTCATGTGCAGTTTGTATGATATAATTGGTTTATTTCAGTTAGGCTAGACTTTTTTTAATTTTTTTGTATCTTTAATTTCTTAGGTAACATCTGATGGCCCGAGTATAAATGAAGGGTACTATATAATTATCATTTAATTTGATAATGTTGTTGGACAACTCTTCACAAAATTTCTGACTGCATTGTTCATAAATAAAAGTGAGGTATTGTTAATGCGGGTAGCTCGGTCATGCTCAGCTAGCTGTTTGCAATTAGTACAATTTAATATTGAGTAAACGACATATTCCCACCCAAGGTTTGAAGAATTCCCATTGAGTATCATAGGTTCCATTTATTCCAAATTTCTACCCTTAAAATGATGAAAAAATATTTGATATAATGGTAAAAGGGTAAATTGGTCATTTTATATGGGCGGCACACGTTAGCAGACCACCGCCTGTAACAGTCCTCCGACACACATTAGCAGTCGGCATTCCCAACGTTTTTCGCTCTTTTTTCGGCGATTCTTCCACCCAAAACCACCATTGTTACCACCATTTGACTCCTCGCATCCTCCCCTACAAAACCCCTAACCTTTCTAGCCACGGCAGCTCACCGTTTGCCATCCACCACTTTATCGAAAAACGGTCGATGAACACGAACTCTCGGCCGGCGAATGATGACGAAACGGTTGCTGGGGACATAGGGGTTTTATAGATTTGGATACGGTGGTTGCATTGGTGGTGTCCAATTTAGATTTTCGCCGCCGGAATCGAACGGAATCTGGTGAAGAACACTGAAACCCTAAGCCTAACGACGCCGACGATTGGAGGGGCAAATGAGTTGGAAAGCAAAGGGGTTTTGGACGACAGACTACGGGGAAGGTGATGGAGGTGACTAGGGGGTTCAACGTCGTCAGAAACAGCCCAGATCGGGCTGTTCCGAAGAAGGTGTGTAGTGACCAAGGGTGTTTTTGATATAATTTGAAAATAAAATGGTAAGTTTTATAATTCTACTAATTTAGGGGTTAAAATATAATTTATTAATTTAAGGTTAAGGGCATTATGGTAATTGCACCTTCTAAACCCTAAAAATTTGTAATACTGTTACTTTAAGGGTATGAATTTAGAATAAATGAAACTTATGGTACTAACTTGAGATTTTGTCAAACCTTGGGTGAGAATATGTCCTTTACTCTTTAATATTTGATCAAACAAATGACTCACGGACAACTGTCCGATTCCGGGGAGAATACAGAAAATGTAATGAAACATGTATGTCTATGAACCTGAGCTGGTACTTGCTGCCGAACCGACACATTATTTTTTCCCTCTAGAAAAGTAAGGTACAAGTTTCACTTACACCTTGTTATACGATAAAGAGTAAACGACATATTCCCACCCAAGGTTTGACGAAATCCCAGGTGAGTACCACAGGTTCCATTTATTCCAGATTCACACCCTTAAAGTAACAGTGTTATAATTTTTAGGGTTTAGGACGTGCAATTACCATAATGCCCTAACCCTAAATTAATAAATTATGTTTTAACCCCTAATTTATTAGAATTATAAAACTTACCAGTTTATTTTTAAATTATATCAAAAACACCCCCGATAATTACACACCCTCATCGGAAACAGCCCGATCTGGGCTGTTTCCGACGACATCGAACGTCCTGGTCACTCCATCACCTTCCCCGTATTCCATCGTCCAAAACCCCTCTCATTCCCGACTCATTTGCCCCTCCAATCGCCGGCACCGTTAGACTTAGGGTTTTGATGTTCTTCACCGGATTCCGGTCGATTCCGGCGGTGAAAATCCAATTGGACACCACCAATGAAACCACCGTATCCAGATCTATAAAACCCCCATGTCCCCAACTGCCGTCTCGTCGTCATTCGCCGACCAAGAGTTCGTGTTCTTCGGCCCTTTTTCGATGAAGCGGTGGACGAAAAACGGTGAGCTGCCGTGGCTAGAAACGTTAGGGGTTTTGTAGGCGAGGATTGGAGGAGTCAAATGGTGGTGACAAGGGTGATTTTGGGTGGAAAAATCGCCGGAAAAAGAGCGAAAAAGTTTACCGACGGTGGTCTGCTAACGTGCGCCAGAGGACTGTTACAGGCGATGGTCTGCTAACGTGCGCCGCCCATGTAAAATGACCAATTTACCCCTTTACCGTTATATCAAACGTTTTTCCGTCACTTTAAGGGTGGGAATCTGGAATAAATTGAACCTGTGGTACTCACTTGAGATTTCGTCAAACCTTGGGTGGCAATATGTCGTTTACTCTACGATAAATTCAACTGGTATGAAATCTTGACACGTGTCCTATAGCCCTGGAGTGATCTAATCCCTTTGATTCAGATTAAAAAAATAATAATAATATGTATAAATCTATAAAAAAAAAAATTTGTTATTAATATATATAAAAGGTCTACTTCCAGGTTTAAAAATAGATGAAAAAAATTTGTTATTAATATATATATTTTAAACCTACGTCATATTAAAAAACTCTTTTTACTCTTTTTTCTATGATTTTACTTGCTTTTTATTTATCTCTAAAATTCTTTACTATTTTATTATTTTTCTCATGCTATTTATTTTTAGAACTTTTGAAGACTGAAATTATTAAAGTTTTCACTACTTAAGATTCTACAATTAGCTTAATTTTCTGTTTTATCAATTTTAGGTATGTGTATTGCCCATTTCAATTTAATTTATTTTAGAATTGAATCATACTTGTTTTTTGGAAGTTTTTTATTCTAATTTAAAGGAAAAAGACATGGGTTTTATCAGTTTATTTTGTGTTTTGTGTCTAAGAATGGATCTGCTTTCTCAAATTAAAACATTAACTATATTTCAAATGACGTTATTTTTCATCATTCACCCACCACTTTCCTATATTTCAAACGTCACCGTTCAATTGCTTAAAATTATTAAAGAAATTTGAGTTACTATCTATATTTATATCCAAAAAAATCTTTTTTTTTTTTATTAATTCATATTAAAAGTTGTTATGCCTCAAAAGTCACGCTTATGTCAACCTAATAAATGTGCTGTCAATCTCATATCTCCTCAAAGATATTCACACCAACTCTATCTAATTTCAAGAAATGAATGGACGAAAGCCTTCCATGTGTCAAAGCAACTTGCAAAACACTCGTTACATTGAGTGCAAAGGTGTATAAATGAGCACTCCTCTTCTCGAAGAAGGAGGCTGGACTGAGATTTGAGCTTCATTTCATTCTCTCTATGTAAACACTGTATTTCTTCATCTTTGTATGCCTTACGGACAAAATCATAGAAATAGTCAGAGATCAATAAAATAACAGTGGATGTAGGAGTCGCTTGTTGAACATCCGAACCACTATAAAAACCTCTCTTGTCAGCCTATTATTTATGTTTTCTGCAACATATATAATCTCAGCTCCATATTCAAATCTTATGGATCCATCATGTGTGATTTCTAAGTCTGCTTAGCGCTTCTCACGTGCGAGTCATTGGCGTTCAAAATCAAGCGTCAACAAAAGCCAATATAACATTGACTTGATTTAAATTTTTGTTGGCTTTAGCTAAGGTTAGGTCTGGTCAAAGTCATAAACATTTATATTATAATATTTAGAAACCAAAAATAAAAAAAATTAAAAGAAGATTTTGCTCAAAATTTACTCATCACATTTACCCAAAATTCTATCTCTGATAGAAGTATGAAAATGTTGTATCATTGTATTTTTTTCTCTCAGATTCTTGTATTATATTACTTCATTTGTTTAAACTTCAATGTTATATCAAAAGTGGTGGCTTCTTATGTAAGATTGTCAGGGTTTGTTTTAACTGTAAGGCTCATAGCTGAATCATTACCTAAGTCGCATGACACATTATAAGAGGATTATTTCGGTGTTAAGTCTCCAATCATGACGGTTTATCAGGCCACCTGTTATGCGACTTCTTGAACAAGACCAGTAGAGGTCTCCCACCCCAAATCAGGGATCCAAAAATTCATTTTCTCAATAACATATTATTTTTATTCATTTTGAAAGCAGCTAAACATAGGATATAGATTACAGAGTGAGAAATTAAATAATAAAACAAGACAAGATACGTCTGTTTCTCTTACAAGCAAGTAACAAACTTCACAAAGTTGATTTGTTAGCAGCAGGAAGAGCATTATCCTGAGCTGCACAACAAGTGTTAATAAATTCCTTGAGAAATTTGTGCAAAGCCTGGGCCTTCAAAGGATCAAACAGTTCACAGCCATGAAATCCATCGTCAAATGTTGTGACCACGAGCACTCCACGTGTCTGTAACATTTTCACAAATTCCCTCTGTCTGTCAATTAGTGGATCCCCTTCATGCCCACTCACCAAAGTCATTGGTAATTGTTCGATTTTGTTTTTCGATGCGGCGATCATTGGATTACAATATTCATGATCACGATCCGCGTCCTTGGGCAATGATAGGTCCCACATAAGATCATTAGCAGTCAACGGCAAAATCCGATCGTTGATCAGTCTTTTCTGGGATTCAGTCCTCTGGACTCCATCAAAGAATGGCTGAATGAGCATAAGCCCTTTGATTTGAAGGGGTGAAAGATCAATATCGATGGCACGTAAACATGCATGGTAAGCAATGTTGGCGCCAGCACTAGAACCCGAGATAAAGCACTGTGTAAAGTCAACGTGGTCTCTCAACCATGGATCACAGCCGTTGATATCAAGCGCCTGTTTGCGGACCCACATGATGGATTCAATAGCATCGTCGTAGGCTGCTGGAAGGCGGTGTTCAGGGGCGAGACGATAATCAACTGACAGGATAAAAGCAGGGAAATAAGTTGCCTTGCGATTGCAGGAGTTATGAAAAATTAGAGAGGCAGCACTGTAGAGAATGAAGCCCCCTCCATGGAAGTCTATTATGAGAGGGAGCTTAGTGTTGAGGGGAATATTTTCAGGCTTGTATAAGCGAAGAAAAGTTTTATTGGCCGGGTTTAGAGGAATGTCTTTGGAGAGGGCGAGTTGGGGTGAGTTTGAATCAGTGGTTTCTGGATTTGGAGGTGCAGTGGGAATTGTGAGGAGTCTGGTGAGTGAACCATCTGGGTTAGGGACGATTTTAAGGAGTTTATAGGGATCTATGGAAGTTGTTGCAGTTGCAGGAGAAGATTGATCTGCCATTTTGAAGAGTCAGTGAGAGAGATAGACAGTGTTTTTATGCACACAACACAAGTGTGTTTGCATATTTTATTTTATATATGAGAAAGGTGAATGCTGTAAGGGTTTTGTGGTAGCAATTGCTGACAATAAGTGATCAACTAAGTGCATTTAATAAAAACTTGGTTGGTGTAGAGTAATAAATGTATTCGGCGGTTGTGATGAGCTGCTCTTTCAGTTGGTGTAAAGTTAATTATTTTGGTTGATCATAATGTTAACCAAAACGTGTTATTAGGAGAATATAACTTGAAACTCGTTCACAATAACAAACACGAGTCATGACCATGATTTTAACATGAACAATTTGGACCTGGTCCAGTGAACTTGTTTGCCTATTAAGTTCGGGGTCATGAATGAAGCCCAACCTTGGGTAGGTTGGTTAGGAGCCCAATTAGGTGATAGCGGCTAAACGAAAACATTAAATAACGAATCAAAGGTGCATGTACCGAGTGCCCGTGGCTAATGCATAATTTTATAGGTAATACTGTACTTATAACCTAATCTCATAAACTTTTTTATCATAATTCTGACGTAACAGTTTGTAATTAGTTAGCTCGTAATGGTTTCACTTGTCTAAAAATGGATCCCGCCTACCCAATTACGAGCTGACCAATTAAAACGTGACTGTGTAAGAGAAAAAGTTAATAAGATTAGATTGTGAACCAATCTTTATTGAAATTTTACCGTAAATTTATGGAGCATAGTAGTACCGCCGTGCCGTCAACAATGTCATTTGTAATTAGGTTCATTAGATTAGTACCAGATAGAATAAAACAATCCATCCATCCAATTATTTTTAAAAGAAAATGTTATCAAACCCATAAAACTAATCCAACTTTTGAATTTCAAAATCATAAATCATATGAATTTGAACTTAAAAACTCAGTAAATCCGATGCTCAAGTGATTCAGATACTCCTAAAGTTACATTTCCACTTGTCCAGCCACTATTGAGCAGACTCTAATTCTTCTTCTCTTCAAATGCATCGTAGTTTTAGATTTAGTTGTACAGATCAGAGAATCGCATAAAAAGTACAATATCTGGCTAAGTTTTAATTCATGCAATTTACAGATGGAGCACAATAATTGTATAAGATTAAAGAGAGAAAAGCATCCACCATTAAAATGTTTTAACAGGCGCTTGACAAATAGAAAGTAATAGGGATGGTATGGTGGTAGGGCTCGCTGGCAAGTTGTCAGTAATTAGTGCTGTCATCTCACCGAGAAGAAAATTGATTAAAACTACAAGATGTTTATTTCATGGCCTTATCAATAAGAGCCTTGTACATTAATTTATAACAGCAATTCATGACATCGTCGAGCACAATGTTCACTATTGTTCCCAACAGAAGTTTTGTGTTCACAAAGAGCCTGCAAATATACAGTATTAATGTGCTGCATAGTCATCTTTCAAAAGATAAAAGATGGGACCAAAACTGGGTTCCTTCAACTGAATTTCATGTTACTTCAGCTAAAAAATCACCGACTTTTGCAAACTAGCAGACAACAAAAATGGAAATATCTTCTGGGCCCAAGACGTCCAGAAGACATCAAAGGCAAAGCATTGATTTATGCCCCAGAACAATTCGCAAATACATATATCAACAGTCAACAAGCCTTAAAAGAAAGATGGCATCAACATCTGGAAAGCAAAAGCTATCTCCATATATCTTTACATTTACCGTTAAACTTGGGATTCCTAAAATTCAACAATTTGTGGGAGCAAAAGTCAAGTGGGGTTGTACATAAAAAAATCATTGTTCTTGAGAAAAAGATGATACTGAAACAGAAATCGTAGGCCCAATTGCCCAAGAAAACATCTAAACAACCAAGCAAAATTTTGGATAGACCCTAAAGTCATGAAACAAATAGTTGTTTTTTTCATTTCTTAAATCAATTTCTACAAAAACATAATAATTAGAAATGACCTACCACAGTACACACTCTACAGTCAATGATAATTAAACGTTACAGGAAATCCAATAAACTCATCGTGCTTTCTTCCGAGATTTAAACGGAAAATTACTTGGTGGGGATGGTGAGAATTCAAATGGCAAATGTGGTGGCTCAGCTTCACCAGAAAGCATCTGAACAATTTCTTTCATTGTAGGTCGCTTGCTTGGCGATCTCTGCAAACAGAGAAGTGCAATGGTAATGCAAAGCAATGCTTGATCCTTATCTAAGGAATGAACTGATAAGTCTATAAGATCCAAAAGTTTCCCATTGTATGCCAATTGCCTAGCCCAAGAAATCAAATTAGCCCTTTCAAATTCTGACATTGGGGAAGCTGTAACTTGTAAAGGCCTTCGTCCTGAAATCAGAACCAAAAGAAGAACACCAAAGCTATAAACATCGCATTTTTCTGATAACAAGCCGCCGCCACCATATTCAGGGGCGATATAACAAACTGTTCCTCTCATGCTTGGAGTACTACTAATACCACCACTCTTGGGTATGTCTCCACTAGCCCAATCTTGACTATTTCTTCTTCCACTTCTTAATTCGCCACTAAACCCATCAAGCCACCAATCAATGCTACCTCTACTGGACTTATTCTTTCTCTTTTTTCTCTGTTGCATCACTTCCTCGTCTTTTTGCCACCACATTTCACCACCATGACTGGAATTGAATCCTCTTTTCTTCTTCTTTTTTGTCAGCTCTTCACAGAACTCTTCTTTCCACCATTCTCTTGGCTTTCGGTTCTTTTCTTTCTTTCGAACTCTCTCCTTCTTTAACTCAAGTTTGGAGCCCGAACCATTATTTTCAGTGGAACTCGGAGAAGCTATCCATTCATTTTTGGGTCTATCTTTTTTTATTTCACTCCCGATCCATTCCATAACATAATCTTTCACTCTCCCCGACTCTGACCCTCCTCCATTGTCCTGTTTCCACCACCAATCTCTCCTTGAACTACACTTTTTACCATTTCCAATCAAATCCTTTCCACTCTCAATACTAACATGATCAAAACCCGCTTCTGATACACTCCCTTTATCAGCCCCAACTTCAGGGGACAACACAACAGTCTCAGGGGAAACTTCAGGATCAAACACCCTAACAACGCAACTGTCCGGCGACAGATCAATACCACCGCCACCGCAAACACCACCACTCTCTTCATAAGCAGTCACCACGCTCTCAGTCTCCTCCAAGATCGACCCATTATCCTCCACAACATCCATCTTCTTCCCACCTTCACCTTCCACAAGATCCTCAGTTTTCAACCTCGCAAGACCAAAATCTCCAATCTTTGCATTAAAATCACCATCTAACAAAATATTACTGGGCTTAATATCGCCATGAATCACAGGCGGGTCACAAGAATGATGTAGGTACTCGAGCCCCCTGGCAATATCAAAAGCAATTTCAAATCTTTTCTTCCACTCCATAAGTTCTTCACATTTGCGATCCAATAACGCGTCCTGTAAGCTCCGGTTCTCCATCAGCTCGTAAACTAAAACAAGCCTACGCCCACGCCGATCCGAAGCGAAACCAAGAAGAGAAACAATGTGAGGTGAGTTCAGAGAGGAGGCCAGAGACAGTTCGTTGTGGAACTCTCGCTCGCCTTGGAGTGAACCTGAAGAGTCAAGTATTTTGACCGCAAGTGGTTGTGAAGACGACGGTACTATGGCTTTGTAAACTGAGCCGAAGCCACCGTGGCCAAGCCGGTTAGATGGAGAGAACGACGCCGTTGCGTGGCGGATGAGACTGTAAGAGAACCGCCGACAGTGGTGGTGGTTCGGAGATTTGAGGTCTGATGGAGCCGTACGGTTGCGCGAAAGTTTACGGTAACAGAGAATGGTTGCAATGAGCAAGATGAGAAAGACTAGGACAAGGGTTCCGGCGAGGATTGCGGGAAGGGCATGAAAATGAGGGTTGTGGTGATGGTGGATGAGCGGTGGCGCCACCGGCAATGGTGGTGGGGGTAGTAATGAGAGCAAGGAACGTGATGGCATGGCTGTAAATAGCATGGAAAATGGAGGCGAGGTTAGTGTAACAATATTAGTAAGTCATGAGTGACTGACTTAGCTGAAGAAGAATAGAGAGCTCTCTCTCTCTCACTCTGTTTTGAAAGTGTTTTATGTTCTCTGAATCCCTGATAAGTGTTTCCTTGGTTCTGAACACAAAAGTAGGCCCAATCTTTTTATTTTTCTATTGGTTAGGATAAGACAAGTGTTGAGTGACGTGGAACTTTCGGATATGCATGCTGAGGAGGCAATTAGTTTGACTTTTTCTGCAGACGTGGTGATATCTCATTGGCTGGTTACTGTTTTACTGTAAAGTGATACTGCACCTACTGTCTTTGCTCACAAACTTTCTCCCACTCCCACACGTGTCACTCGCAGTTAATTAATAAGACTAATACGAGACCTATCGTAAATTGATTAATTGTTGTTATGCCTAAAAAGACAGGATTGATATAGAGTCTTGTTAGCATGAGATGGTCAGAACTTAAAAAGGTTCTGTAACCATTCAGATGCAGTCACGTCGCGTAATGGCGTAAGTGACATGCCCCTATCAATGTAGTGGATGAGTGCTAGGTTAATAAGTGGTTAAAAATCGTCCCTGTATCCAAACCCTACAAAAGTAAAAAAAAAATCACTCGGATAGATGAGTAATGGGACGTAAAGAAGAATTTACAAGGCCTTCCCTCCTGTTTGTAGGATGGGTTAATTTTACTTTAAAATAGCACTCTCTCTCTCTCTCTCTCTCTCTCTTGTACTCTCTTTAAATAGTAATTCAACATAATCTGACTTCTATCCTCTTATTAATACAATAATAGTGAATGTAAAATTTACTTTTAAGTATCCGAATTACTTTAAACATTATCATTTATTTTTTATTTAACTAAATATTTATATATTACATGTAACCACTAAGTCCATTTAGCATTTCATAAACGGTGTCAAAAACTAAACATCAACAATTGCATATGAGGATTACGAAAGAAAAGTTGTGAGAGAAGATGGGTGCTTGGGTGGTGTAATATTATTCTTCGCTGTAACTGCCATGTGAGAGATTTAGTTGTCATTTAGTGATCATTTAATGAGCTGGTTAGTATGTCGTTCTGCGGTTGAGAAGGGTGATCACGCACTTTATGATGCGCGTGGTAAACGTGGAGTGAGAATGTGGATCAAGATCTAGAGGCTAGAGCTGTAAACTGAGAAGGGCATGGAGATGATGCAGCTTTCTCCCAACGCGCTTTTGGAGATGCGTGATTGAGTTATTGGTTCTTTGTTTTCTTCTGCATGTCGATATCGTAGTAAAATGTGAGGTTTGACCTAGAGGATAGAGTCTCTTTGCCAACAGTAAAAAGTGCCTTTTTCCATTCAGGCAAGGCAAAGACCAGAGTACCAAATGATTATAAAAATAATAAACGTAACATATAAATTAAGTGTGCTTGGGTAACCAACGAAGGGTAAAATTAATTGACTTTGTGTAATAGTAGCTTCGTAAAGGAATCTGTGTGAAACTTACAGGAGAAAAAAGTTTATATAATAAAAGAAGAAGAAGAAGAAGAGAGTAAGATCATGTGAGTCCCACTTTTGTTCTCTCTCAACTCTTATTGACTGTATCAAAGTCTTACAGCCCACGTCTGTCGGGAGGGGCTGACCCGTGAGTGATATTTCCCAGACTAGTGTGTAATAATGATCTTAAAGAATGTGCTCATGCTATTATAATACAAGACCCCTAAGCCTATATATAATAAACAACCATTTGAACATGACATTATTCCTTTTCAAAGATTGTTTAGGATACGGCACAAGAAATGCACCGCTCCATTTGTTTTGTTCTTAATTACGTTAGACCGTCCATATGCTAGGGTGGTTTTCCGTTGGGTGGTGTACTGACGTCTGACTAGGGGCTTGTTTTTGTGTTGTCTAATACAGTACATAGATCTTAGACATGACAGGTTGTTTGTTCTAGTAAAGGATACTAGTTCACGGGAGAAATTTCTTGTTTTTGATGTTTAATCAGGAATATACACCCATAGAATTCAATTTATTAATAAANAACGTAACATATAAAAAAGTGTGTTTGGGTAAAATACGAAGGGTAAAATTAATTGACTTTGTGCAGTAGTAGCTTCGTAAAGGAATCTGTGTGAAACTTACGAGAGAAAAAAAGGTTATATAATAAAACAAGAAGAAGAAGAAGAAGAAGAAGAAGTGAGGGAAATCATGTGAGTCCCACTTTTGTTCTCTCTCAACTCTTATTGACTGTATCAAAGTCTTACAGCCCACGCCTGTCGGGAGGGGCTGACCCGTGAGTGATATTTCCCAGACTAGTGTGTGATAATGATCTTAAAGAATGTGCTTATGCTATTAAAATACAAGACCCCTAAGCCTATATATAATAAACAACTATTTGAACATGACATTATTCCTTTTCAAAGATTGTTTACGATACGGCACAAGAAATGCACCGCTCCATTTGTTTTGTTCTTAATTACGTTAGATCGTCCATATGCTATGGTGGTTTTCAGTTGGGTGGTGTACTGACGTCTGACTAGGGGCTTGTTTTTGTGTTGTCTAATACAGTACATAGATCTTAGACATGACAGGTTGTTTGTTCTTGTAAAGGATTCTAGTTCACGGGAGAAATTTCTTGTTTTTGATGTTTAATCAGGAATATACACCCATAGAATTCAATTTATTAATGAAAAATTTTAGATGCATCCCATACGCCAAAACTGCTTAAAGAAATAAATTAATCGGCAACCCAGCAGTTGATATGTATAAATCCATAGATTATAAATTAAAATACAGCTCAAAACGGAGGAAAAATAAAAGTCGCCCAGAGTATTGTGTAGACTTTGAAGTAATCTACGGCGTCTAACAAACCGTGTTAAGTCTTACCTTTACATACCTAAATAAACACGCGACCTGTGAAATGGAGAGAAATTAAAATTGGTGAATTTATTATTTATATATAAAAAATATAAACGAGAGCTTAACCAAATATAAAAACAAACAAACAATAAATTTGGTCAACATCAGGTTTTTTCTACACATGAAACCGAATTTCCTAGTGATATGATTTCGGCAACAATTTTCCTACCAAAAACCCAGAAGTAGTTGCAAACGATTTAGGAATCAGAAACAAATGACGGGATTTAGGACTAACAAACAGAGTTTTGTACAATGTTTGAAGATCTATTGCACATTCAAAGTTACAATTATACAATGACCGAAACAGAAGAAAAGATAATTCGGGTTAAGTTGGAGAATACCAACATTTTTATGCAACCAATTCCCACGCTCATAGAAAGAATAGCATTTGCAGAAACTAACAAGGAAATAAGATAACTACAAATTCAAATTCACATACTTTCCATAGCTATTCACTGTAATGGCTTTGCACCACCATTTTCTTGGATGCTATTCACTGGAGTACTGCTGCCACTCTTTTTGCTGGATTGCCCTGTGATAGTCCTGCCCATAAACTTTCCTGCTTTGCTCAAGCCGCTGCCTACAGCCCCAAGACCACTCCCAACGATTCCAACGCCAGCACCAACACCACTGCCCACAAGCCCCGCTCCAGCACCAATTCCAGTTCCAACAAGCCCAACTCCAGCACCAATGCCTGATCCGACAAGCCCAACTCCAGAACCAACCACACCAACTGCTCCATCAAGCGCATCCATCGTACTCCCAATAACACCTTCTGCTTTCAGTTTCTTTCTTTGTTCCAGGATCATCTTCTCTTCTTCTAGTGCGGCCAACTGCTCCTCTTTATTAAATTCATGGTACAATATCTGAAATTACAACCAAGATATTATTAAAACTGAAAATAATAAACAATAAGGAAAATATAGTTCAGTGTAGCATCCTAAATTAAAATCTCCAACTTGGCAAAGGATACAAATACCAATGGGCTACGCAAGGCCAATCATTCTACGACATGTCGACATGCAACAGTATAACAGTAAATTCCTATTGCAAACCTTCCCCACAATCAAAAGAAATTAAATAAGACATATCATAAGGTGGTTTTTTAGGTAAGTAACAAAACACTAATGGTTGCCTGACCCACATACATGGGACACAAACAAGCAAACAGGACATGTCATAATCTGATAAACAACAGAATGAAACAGATTATATATGTTTTATACGCATTATAAACTACAATGTTATAACTATATCTGAAATCACCAACTTCAAAATGGTAAAACCAAGCTGAGCAAAGTGTCTACCTTTACGGTAATGGTTCCTCTGTCCTTCTTATCTTTTATTTTCATCATATCAAGTGATGGTTGAAGTCTCAATTCAAACTCTTTTGGAGTCTCCGCTTCGAGCTCAATTAAAGGCAATTTTACTATTCCCAATCTCTTATCTTGACCAATGTCCTGATCGCGAACCTGTATGAGAGGTTTAAGAATATTACTTGCAGTAAGGGAAACTGATCTAGCCATCCTTAAACCATAATTAAAATCACATTAAGAGCAATAATAAGGCAACAGTCTAGAAACACATAACAATTTTCTTCTTCTTCAACACCCCTTCCCCCCCCCCCCCCAAAAAAAAAAAAAAAAAATGAAAGATGTAATCAACACCGGATACATGGAATCAAGGCTTTGTCGAGTTGAATTATAGAGGTCCACTAACTTGAGCTTAGTAATCAATCTCCAACTAAAACAAAATTCACACAGAACATGCTCAAATGTACCGGGGTAAGCCCAGCTATGTGAATGACTGTGTACTGCAGACCTAACTGTGTCTCACGGTTCAGACAAATTATTGTGTAGCATTAGGGATGAACAAATGTCCAAAATCCACATGATAATTATAATAATTCCCCACTGGTAGTGTGAATGCAAAGATACTAACATGCATACACATATATAAATCAAGAGGCAAAATTTTGCAAAGAGCACAAAATAGATTACATGAGTGATAAAAAGTGTTTGCAGATTGAAACCTCAAAAACAATTGACTGTGTCTCTTTGTCTTCAGCAATCAACTCAAATGATTGATTCCAAACAGGATTCAGGTTGTTGTCAACCACGTGTGTTTTAACCTTGAATAGTGGCCCAATATAAAGAACCACATAAGGATCAGATTTTCCAATCATTTCCATGTTCTTCAAATTATTCGCTTTCACTACTGTAACTGTAACTTTCCCCTGTGGTTTAAGCTCTAATTCACTGCATACAGAAAAGAAAGGCTATATAAGACCATTAAAGAAAACAGAATAAAGTAACTACCTAGTATCTTTGTAATGAAATGAAATAAATAACTCTTAACATATGTAATGAATTAAATTACATATCCACTGTGGCTCAATTCAATATTTTCTAGGGGTTGCACTCGTACATAGAGCACAGCAAAAAAGAATCCCAACAACTGACAACCAGAATCAGTAGATTAAGAATTACCTTGTATCAACAGGTATACCGCCTATTGGGACAACAATCCTATGGGGCCACTGAAGCATGTCTGTGACAATTGTATTCACAGTATCCTAAGAAATGTGATAAAAGCAGAATGATGAGTTCAAGCAACGGTCTCAAATCAAACAGGATTGTTTAATCAAAATAATAATTATTCAAATACCAAGACAAAACTTACATCAATCATATCCGAAATTCCAGGAATGGCTGTTAAGCTTCCACCAACAGCCTTGAGAGTATAATCAATTCTTGGCTTTGGCTGATTAAATGTATATGAGAATTAGTCAATATGCAACAACTCTAATTCATGACAGTTTAACAAGTAAACAGTAGCTCCACTCATTACGTTGCAGTATGAATTTCTGACAGCCCTAAAATCAACTATGTTGGAATCCTCATCCATTAAAATCATATGACATAAGCAGGCAAATCATAGTTAAAAAAAAAAAAAATCAAATAAACACCCAATTGTGCTCAAACCCATTAACTCAGATATCTATTGGCTTTGTACCAACTATGAGTAAATCACTAAAATGGTTATCTTCTTAAAAGTTCCCAGTGAAAACAACTTTCATCTTTACAAATGAGAAAGTTTTCTGTAAACAAAAAGTCAAAACTGATAGAGTGTGAAAACAGCACTAAGAATGACTCACAACAGTCCCAACAATCTGGATATAACTTAACAGGTTGGCAGATGTTCATTTGTACAGATGTGCTCTGCTCAAGGTAAAAGAAAACTGACATGAATTGAAAACATTTAAATATATTCTAATTTTTCACATCATGAGTGGCACACAACTTTTTAATTTGATTTTTTTGTTCCTCTTTGACATAGGCCTTTGGTAGAAGAGATGAAAAACTACTGAAGCCACTTCATATTTGCACACCATACGAAAATTTGTTGAAATGTACCTCAGAAAGTAGAGCAACGACAACAGCAGAAATGCATGGTATCTCTTCAGCGAGTTGAAAGATAACACGAATAACGGTGAAAACTTGAAGGTCTTTCAACTGTAGCATATGACACCATGGAAATACTCAAATCAATTACCTCTTGATTCACAAAATTCTAAATGAAAGAGAAGAAAAAATAATATGGCACCTAAATGTAGCAAAAGTCATAATGAGAAAAATAAAAATACTCAAAGTCGATGCACTAACCTGAATCGGTATTGAAGCAACAAGTGCAGCTTCAACACCTAAAATGATGCTTGGATCACCACCCCAACGGAAATCAATATCCATTGTAACTTGACCTTCCTTAAGACTCTGAACACGGATACCTGCATTAGATAAGTAATTATACAAGTACTTCAAAAGCTACCAATGTAACTAAAAAAGGAAAGAAACGAACTTTGATAGTGACAATATCATTAATATTCGCACAATTATGGCCCAAGTCTGAGGCCAAAAATCAAGTAAGGTAGTGAAACATTCTTCGACAGTGACAATATCATCAAAACTCTCATGTTATGGCCCAAGACTCATGACAATGATCAAATTTTGGTAATGACAATATAAGAATAGGCACATGAGACAAAGAAACTCACTAAATGTGGAAAGGAGAAATATAAACATGAAAATAATTATTTTTTTTTTTTTTAATATTGAAGAAGAAAAAGTGCACCTTCCAGGAAACAGGAAATGAAATTCTCAGTTGTTAACTAAAGAAATCGAAAACAAGTGGAAATCATTCACCCCTCTAAGTATCCCTATGGCAGCAATAAATTTAGAAGAAATTTGAATCTTAATTCAATTTTATATGAATTCGGGTTTTTGTAATATGCAATGATCTTAGAAGACCTACTTCCAGAAAATCTGCCCTGATGTCTTCAAGACATTATGTTTCAAAATAAATTTAGTAAAAATCCGAGAAGGCTACTTTGTGATTTACTGAAATCTCCATGAAATATGATACAGAAGTTAGAAAAGAGAATGGAAAAAAATGCAGAAAAGATGTGCAAATACCATAAACTGAAGCATACCTTCAATTTTGGGTGCCACATTGCCAAGAGACAACTTGTTAAACTTTAATGAAGTAATTCCTGGAGGTCGATATTCTTCCAGTAGAGGTTCGACAGATTCTTTTATCACCAATTCTGCTGCCTGAAAACAATTTAAACACATAAATATTGCTTAATTTTCTCTGGTCTCTAGTTCTCCCTCCATGTTTAGATCCATTTATCCTTTGTCTTCCTCTACCTTCACTAATATTTTTCTTCACAAAAAATATCTTAAATATCTACTGAAATAGTTAAACACCCTAGAAAGTAGAAACCAATATCCCATAATAGAATCATGCCTTCTGTCAAGTAATTCATTCACATTTGTATACCCTTTTATTTGCATAATCTCATAAGTGAAAATTCTTTATTCTTCGTTTACTACTAATGGGTCCACTGGGTCATCTTATTTTATGTTTAAAATTTTATGGTAAGAAAAACAAGGAGCTTACATCTGCAACAAACGGCCATAATTTGCTCAATTCCTTGTTCAACCATTTCACCTGAGACAACCAACCAAAGTATGCATAATAAGCTACACTGGACAATGGAGGAAAACATAGTGGTCAAAGAATTTCAGATGGCATATTTTTACCAGATATTACCCACAAAATTGCCTTTGAATTTGAAAGAACGGCACAAAAATGCATTATTAAAGATAAGAAAAATTTTCTTAAATAATTTGTGAAGCAAATTGAGTGTTTCATCCCTCAAATATTTAGTAGATGATACTCTTCCTTTAATATTGGCAACAAAGAAAAGTATACTAGCAAAACAACTTTTAGAAAACCCAGAAGTCTTCAGATCATATTCCGAAACTTTTATGAAGGCAATTTACTAAGACAAACAAAAGATAATTTACAAGTCTTTTGTTGCCTTTGTGTTTCAACTTAAAAATACATATTATATATATATACACACTTGACCAACAAAAAAAGCAGAAGAAGAATAAAGAAAGAGAAAAAAAGAAGAAGCCAACCTGTTCATACGCAGGGAATGATATCCATTCAGGAAAATTGTCACCACAGATTTTCTTCAAATCATCTCTGTTGAGTGACCCAAGAAGTTTAATATCAACTGCCTGTGGAAGCAAAATACGCGGGATGAATAACAGACATTGAGAAAAGTAGAAACAAGTCAAAAGTTCTAACCTATATGAATAAATCACCAACAAGGGGTAGAACTCTTTCTAATATCCAAAGTTCATTAAGATTACAAGAATATGACTAATATTTACATTGATGAAGTGCCTCTGATGATGTGAAGAATGGTATTATGTTCGTTTGGAAGATAATTCTTCAAAAACTCGATGCAAAACTAACAGTGTTTGCTACTCTACTATTTAAAGTTTTGATCCAGACACCAAAAGACAAGAAAAATAAGCTATACGTGGTGGAAAAAATCAGTCGGCCAATCCTAATGTTTGTTTTAATTCTCTAATCCCCACGACATTAATTCTATATCTAACTAACTGCGAGAAATTCCAAAGGAAAAAAAAAAAAAAAAAAAAAAGCAGTCAATGAAAACAAACTAAACGGAATAAAATGGTTTCCAAAAAAAATTCAAAAAAAAGTAGCGTACCTTTGCAACTCGCTTGGTGCTTCGGTACCTCATCATGTGCCGCCATCCAGCCATCAATACGATCCCGAAGATCGTCCCCATTAAAATCCCGGAAATCAACCCCATTTTCCTGGAATCCAAACAGAATTTTGATTAAAAAGGCAAAATCAAGAAAATCGAAGAAATGTATTGTCGAGAGAGAGAGAGAGAGAGGAAGTTACAGCCCGATTGAAGAGTAGGGTAAAGGAGTGAATTATAATTTGTGGATCAGATGTGAGACAGAAATTAAACTAGTGCAGGTAAAGGAAACGTTGATCCCACAACACTTTATAAATTTGTCTCCATCTCTCTCTAAATTATCCACGTTTCTCTCACTAGACGTAAAGTTTCGTTACGTTTTTGTGATTGTGAACGTCATAAGGATGGATTTCTAGTTCTAAGCGTCGGCATTTGTTCCAAGAGATGAAAGCATTCAAGTGGTGTAGGCCAGACCAGAGCAGATAGAAACTCTCTATTTCCAAATTACATGTCCGTCTGTCACATTGAATTTTCCGCTTTTATTACTTACTTAACGCACGTCTGTCCGTTACTGTACACTGTACACTTGGAAATATCTCAATCTCATCCTAAATTTTCCATTAAAATACGGATTTTGTAGCCCTTTCACTGTATATTTATATATTTTGGGGTTAAATGGTCCAAGTTGTTAGGGTCATTGAAGAAGGGACGCCAATTAGTCTTTCACCGATGGTAGAGTGGATTTTGGTAATTGGAATTAATAGAAATTTGACGTAAGAGCGGTTACGCAAACTTTAATCGCTCGATTATTGGCGATTGACAGGATCAATGAGAGTAAAGTTTGAAAGATTTTGGTGAATAATTATCAGAAAAGAGAATAGTAATAGTGTAGGATCGTAACGATACTGAAGTTGAAAACAGAATATAAATTTTGGTAGTAAAGTGATATTTTAAAAGTATATGGATGAAAAAATGTTATTAAACCATTATATTTAAGTAATAAAATGATATTTTAAAAGTTTATAAGTGAAAAACTACCACTAAACCATTATATACGTGGGAAAAAGTCTTTTACTCCGGATATGATTACTTATTTCTTTCTTTCTTCTTTGGGCTAGCATTTGGACCGTTTATGTACTACCCTATTAAAGACAATTTGCTTGCTTCCATAACGGTTGAAAAAAGGTGAGAATGACACCCTTGCTATTGCAAAACGAATTAGTTTCATCCGTTTGGCCGTTGCAACAAAACCCTACAGTCTATCCGTTCAAAAGCAAACTTTTACAAAGTGGCTTGAAGTGGAGGCAATCTCTTTTTTTTGTTTGTAATAAATTGTTAATCAATAAAGAATCATTAATTTATTTTGTTTAAAAGATAACAGAACATGCAACGCACATGATCGAGATAAACGGTGAAAGAAGTCAGGAACCACGTTACAAACAAATATTAAACCGCCCGTTTGCAAGTCAAAATCATTAATGACCCGTTAAACCATTAAAGACTCTGATAAGGATGGCTATATCCATATCACGCGTTGATTTTTGATTTCTCTCAGATTTATCAAAAACAAATAAAATTTTAGGGGCTCTAATCATTTCCCCTCTTATTTCTCAATGTTTATTTGACCAAATACAAAAGAATCTGTAACCCACCCGACCATGAATATGAGTCCATCCGTCGCAAAGCTCACCCTAATCCTATATCCAAACATATCCCAACCAAAACGTCTGTAATCTCAAAAATAGCCCCTATATTATTGACTTTCAGACATGGCCACAATATCCAAAGTCCAAACTGCCCTCACTTAATTCAAAAATACCAATCCGGTTTCACACTAGAACACTCGCAAGACAGAGTAGTAACGAAGGCAACAAAAAGCGCAGATTAATAAGCCTACTTGATGCACCATTGTCCAGGGACGGTGACCCACCGGCGATTGTAACCGGCGGCGACTGAGCAGTGTCGGGGCTAGGCGGGGCGACGTAAGGTGGTGGAGGCGGTTGATTGAGGCTAGGAGGCAAGCCCAGGCCATGATTGACGAGGATCTGGAATGCCATGCCACGCTGGCACTGGATGCCATCTTCAGCGTCCGAGAAGAAGAAGTTGGGACCCACAACGGTCAACGGAACTGCAATTGTCAACGATTTACCGAACTCACTGTTACCACCGCTGAACTGGAAGGTATCATCATCTGATGCATCGTCGGTAGTGCAATTATTAAATGTGGTGTCATTGTATGTTAGGATCACGGTCTGGTTGGTGGTCGTGTTGAAAACTAAGTAGATCACAAAGTAAGCAATAAGAAAAATAAAATAAAATAAAAGAATGGATATAAATGCACTGAGAATTATAACTTACTGAGATAGTCTCCGAGGTTGAAGGTTTGGTTGGAGGCCCACGAGGAGTAATTAGTGGCAGAGATGTTGTTTTTGGCGTCGAATAACCAGCCCATGGAGCTACCGACGGTGTGATTGGTATATTGTTGTGATGCGACTGTGGTGATGAGGACTGCCATCACCGTTAGATTTAGCAAGAAGGTGGTGGTCGTCATAACTGTTGAATGTTGAGCCTATATCTATTGTATGCGGTTCGATCTGATGACTTTTGAACTGGGGCTCCTTCCTTGGTTTTTAAAGCGGAATTTGGAAGATAAAATATTGATGCAGGTTATATTACAAAAAGCCGGTGTTTAGTATGTACCAAGTCGTGGGTGGAGAGAGAGGTGTGGGTCCACATCAAAGTTCCAAAATGAGCAGCTGCTCTGCTATTTCCCCTCCCCTTTGTTTTGTTTTGCTTTTAATTTTTCCAGGGATTTTCTTCTTGTTTAATCGCTTTTTGATTGAATTAGACATTCTTGTTTTTGGATTTTGTCGTGGAAATCACCCAGTTGCTTAATTTTCGTTAGACGTCACGTCTTAATCAAATGGGAAATTTTGACTATCCAAACAAAATAAATAAAAGAACAGTAGTAGACTTCCTTTGCTTTATTAATTAATTTAGAACAGCCAGGATACAACAATTGATTGTCCTTTTCTAATTTGTATGAACAAAACTTGGCTGTGTTACTAATGGAGGTAATGAAAATGTTGTGCAAGGAATTTGGAGAGGATAATTCCCTATCAGGAGAGAAGATATTTAGATTTGTTTAACTTAAAAGGAAGATATTCAAATTGACTTGGATTCTAACTAAGGTAGCCAAAGATCATACAACTTCCTGATCCTACGTATTTGAATCTTATCTCAACTCTATTATATAAATAGGTGCTATATAAACCCATTAGAACTTGTTTTCAAGAGGCGGGACAATTATTTTAGGAAAATATTTATCGTTTGTAATTCTCATTCAATGAGAAAAATAGTTGACATAAGCTCAAGATTCAAACTTACAGAACCACTTTAAAAATTGTCTCTTGTCATTACTTGTATTTTCTCTAGTTGGTACAGATTTTTGTATCAATAGAAAACGATAGAGCAAAGGGTAGTAAAACTTGAGCTTTCGAAAACTTATTTATATGTACTACTTTTTTCAAAACTTATCTCAGATTTTACATTTCAATAAGACGTTACATATATGGTATTATATTATCACATATGGTATTAACTTAAAAATAAAAAGACAATGCATTAGATGATAAGGCAATACAATATATAATGACAAATCATTTGAGATATGTTTTTAGGTCATAGGTAAATCACATGATCATTTTGCGAGACTCGAACATAAGAGCTCTAAATAACTTACTCAAATGGAACTCCATTTGGTACACTACTCTCACTCTATCCTAATTCACTATTCTATCTTAAAAAATGAAAGATGTGTTTGTTTTAATATCTTTTAAAACCTAATCATATTCTATTCAACTCAAAACATTTAACAATTACATTTCTCAATAAAAATTTAAAAATCAACAAAAATACTGTCACCTACCCAATAATTGCTGGTAGCCAGCCACTACCGTCGAAAGTCATTGAAATGGTGCACGGCCATCTAGATCTAGCTGATCGTGCGTCATTCCGATGACTTTCGACCATCGTCTGACAGCGATGGCCACTGGCTAGTTGCTAACAATTATTGGGTAGGTGGGGGTATTTTTGTTAATTTATAAACTTTTTTTATAGAGTAATACTAGCATTACAAAGAGGCATACAAAGACCTATACAAATAGTCAAATTCAGCCCTTGAAATTCATGATTGTCTCTTTCTCTCTCTCTTTTTCTCTTCTTTCAAGAGTTGGATTTGACTCTTTATATAAGTTTTTGTAAGGCTAGTATTACTCTTTTTTATAAAGGGCGTTTAGCTAAATTAATAAATATAGGGAGTTAAAAGATAATCTCAATATTTTCAGAAAATATTTAAAAAAAATATACCAAATATATTCTCATAATTCTGTACTATTTAATTAAATGTTAATCAAAATATAATACTATTATAAAAAATTAAAGAAGCGGAACCTAAAGTCTTGATATCCCACTACAGACCAAATGGTTTGTTCAGACGAGTATTATTCAATTACTCAAATAATTAATGTTTATTCGTAAAGCAATTATCAAAGTTAATCAAGAGTCAATGACAGGTTAAAATAATGACACTTTGGTAGGAACGTGTCGGAGAGGCCCAACCTTGTGTTAAGTTAAGGCCCAGCTCTTCATTCAAGTCCGCATCCACCGCTTTCATCTAAGTCATTAAGTGTCCAATTCAAATACAGAGAAGTTAAGCCAAAACGAACTGCAGGACAATTCCTTCTTTCCACCTCCAAAGGGAATGAGCCACACGTTTCAGGACTAAAGGTTGCAACCAAAATGTCCCATTCTGATTTGCCACTCACTATCGCTCGTAAATTTGAGATTTTTCAGGTATTTTGGGGTTGTCAACTATCTTTTCCGTGCCCTTGAGAAACAAGTCTTGATGCAGGCTTTTGTTAATATTAGATGACATAATAATATCTCGAAATTGCCCCATTTCAAATGCCAATAAAGGTACGTAACCAATAATTTCCTAGCTCATTTTCTTATTCATGTATTTCAGTTCTTATTTGATTTACAACACTAATTTGTTTATAATTAAGCTCTATACCACTGGATATAACAAAAATGAAGTTAAGTTTTGTTCTAATGAATAATAACATTATGATAGTTGAAGTTTATCTTCTTGATAAAATCTAATATGTTGAAGGTTTTCTTTGAGATTATACAGTAATGAAATGGAATATCTAGTAGAGCTTAACAAAATAGTGAAGTTAGGAATTTTGTGACGTCTTGCGGTCTGACTAAACTTTGCATAATCCTTTATTGTAAGGTACAAGCACTTGGGACAATTTGCTCCACCATGAGGAGAGCAAACTGTAGCTCAACTTCCAGGAGATTGGCGTAAAATTAGAGTAATTAATTTGGATTGATGCCAAGGGATCCAGGTGGCATAATTCATCTTTTATCCTTATTTTTTTCTTCTTCATGTGATGGACTTTGCAGATTGTTGGATGTCTTCGTGTCGATTTCACGAG